CAGCACGCCTGGTCAGGTTACGATGGAGAAGCACAACGAGTTGAGCCCACAAGAAGAAACAGGCGGTGCCTATATGAGGATATCACAACAAGCGTCTGAACGAGAACATCGGCACGCTACTGCTGTTTAGGCCTCAACGCCATAGTCTGGGACTCTACTCTGCATCTCGGCTCTTTTTGGTTCGGACTCTTCTGTTCGGACTCTTCTGTTGTGACACTGGTTTTAGGCATATTAACATGACTTGCTACGGCCCAGTATACTCCACACAACTCTCCCTCATCATCCCTATGCGCATTTCTTTCCACTTATCACATTTTTTCATTATTCTACGTGTCATCGACTCGCAGCTAACTTTACCCTTATTGTTTGCTACCTAATCACCTTCTGTCCATATTCTTTGCAATTTCCCCCCCTCTTTGGTCCTTCATCCCCATATATCTATATCACGTCTCTCCCAAATCCCACCAGGAGCGCAACACACTCGAGCCTTCAACTACTTGTAATACTCTAATACTTTTTTCTCACTAAGTACCCTACCTATCAGGGTGTACCATCTAATACCAACCAACTTCCGCTGTAGCGTTACGTGAACAATCCATCGAAAGTTAGAGCAAGACATGCATTACCATCTGGATGGTATTGGTACAATGGGATGATTTCCGTTGTAGATGATTTTGGGAAACCTGCAGGAGCCCCAACCATGGAGCGAAGAAAACTACACTATTAAGGGAAAGATATTGCAAAGAGTTTCTTATGCCCACTGGCTAATAAAATGTACTAAGGAGACTATCACGTTGGACATGGGCAGCAACCGTGGATGTGATTATCCGTGCTCTGAAACCCATAAAACGGGCCCCTGGCGAGTGATCAGTGTATATAACGAAACGAATACACTCATAATATGAATGTACCATACCGTTGGAGTCATGAAGAAAATGGTAACACAGTGCGGAGGCCGAGCTGCTCTTGCTGCCACTGAGTGACAAAATGAAGGTAGTGGGGAGCTGGATCGAAAAGTTATACCTCTCGAATGTATCCATGCATTAAGGGGGAATCGAACCCCCGGCGGGTCGACAATCTAAATCGAATGGCAACGACCCAGGTTACCACTACCCCATTAATGCTGACATATATAGATATGGTGCAAAGTAAAATATAGATAACGGTCAGGTTTGAAGAAGGCAGTAGCCTTCTGAACTTGCCTTTGTCAGAAACCAATAATTCGGAGTTAACTTTAAAGGTGGCGTCGGTTGTGGCGTGTCGGAGTTATTTTTGTGGCATATATAGATGTCCCCTGAAAGCACCAGAAGTTATTCAATCCTTGATTTCATTGCTTATGGGAGTGAGGGTAATAATGTATTAATGAGTAGTGGAACTGTTGCCCATTGTCGTCTA